AACAGCTACGACTTTTGTGTAAATAAATTTTACGTGTGTGTGTGCAGTTGACGGCTCTCGCCTGTTCATTAAAAGGTACGTAGGTATGTTTGTTTTATGCTGAATTAATTGGTAAACGATAAAGTCGCCTTTTACTTGACAAGTGTGCAGATTTAAAGCGCGAAAACCGAGTTGAAAAAATTTTCGAAAATTTTACCCCGCGTAATTGGCGCACCCCTAACTTTGAGCCAGATTTTCTGAAAAAAAAGTGCGCCTATTATGCGAGTAAATACGGTACTTCATTTAGAACGCCCTAATCCATGCACAGTTCCACAGTGTCGGCATCATTATCGGCCAAAATTGAATCGTCGCAACAGATGTTTCACCCGCTCTCTTAGGTCGAAGTCGACGACACGCTGCCACAAATCGCTGCCAGAGTGATCCTGTTCTGAAGCTTCAGGCTCGGCATCGGGCCCGACGACGAAGTAGGCCTTGCGAAAACAGTTTCGCGCGCATGTAGCCGTCATCGCCACCCACGAAATATTCGCCATCTCCACAGCTGAATGCCGGAACCCCCAAAGCAGCAAGTTGGCTGCCAGGCTGCCAGATCGTCAACAGCTATGAGCAAGCGCTCTGTAACGCGGCACCTAATGCGCGGATTACGCTCAAGCCAAGCGGTCACACTTTCGACATTTTGTTGAGCAGCAGGAAAAAGCGTGATAGTCCTCCCGTCTGCCATCATGACCACACATGCACACCAAGAGCGAGCAAGACGCGCTAACGCGAAACACATGCCAGAACGCGTGGAACAGCTCTGGGCCCGTTTCTAGTCTGAAAACGAAACTAATTCCGGCCAGCGTGGCTGGCGTCGTGGAGCGGTGAAGACGAGCGAAGGGGTTTTGATCAAGAGAGGAGAGCAGATTTGCGAGAGAAGGGCAAGCAGTTGCGATAGAGAGGGGAGGATGCGACGGGAGGGCGACCTTGAAAACCAAAACACATGGGACGGAGACAGGTTGGGTAGCTTGCTTGAAAGGTCCGGGAAACGCGCAACTCCCACGTAGAAAAACTTGAGAAAGAGTTTTTAAACTTGAAATTTGCACCGGCAGGTTTGGGCAGCCTCACCAATTTTTATATTTTGCGATTCATTCCACGCAAATTAAGAGCCGCTTTTGCGCTTCGCCACGCCTGCGGAGAGCATGCTGAGTCGAGTGCGAAGTGAGAGAGAAGTCCTAAACACAAAACGAATTGCAAGTTATCAGAGTCGGTGGGGTAGCGTATGCGCGTGCACTAGACGCAGACGATCAGATAAAGTTGGTGGCCGAGGATGTTGGCAAATGGTCTAGTCACTCCAGGCCGGCGACGTCAATGACAGTACCGGCGATCAAAAACAGGGTAGATGGCCGAATGGTCTTCAAAAGATTGGTGGCAGTATGAAAACACGGGCCTCGTCTGGCCATGGGGGGCGTGCTCAGAGTAGCGGGGAGACAACAACGGAGGGGTGTGTAACAAAAAGCGGTCGGTGAAAGCGGCAACTAGAGGGGCGCAGAGGCAAGGTCAGCGTTTAACAATAAGAATGTATGGGCACCTCGCCGATGCCTGATCCGTGGTCAAAAGTGTTTCCTGGGAAGTCAGCAGAGCGCCGACTCTGTTCACAATAACCGATCAGCAGCTCTTGGAGACGTTCGTTGTAAGTGTGATTTTGTGCCACTGAACCTATGTATATTTTCACTGTCATGCGGATTTTGTTCGTTTTAAGCGAAAGTTTGTTTTAAGTGGGGACGTTATATGTGGGCTCGACTGTAATATAACGTTGTAACTTCCTGGAGTGATCTTTCTTAATAGGAGATCTGTCCTCACTCTCTTCGAAGCTGCTGGCATTAGCTCTGTTTTATGACTTCAGAAATTGCTCAGAGTGTGGAAGCAGGGCACAACACTTTAGAGCAGAGCTGGGAGCAGCGAAACGACTCTTCTAAAGCACTTCTGAAGCAGCAAACATGTTCTTAAGCAGCTTTGGCACAACAAATAACTCTTTTGTAGTGGCATCACAACAAGAAATCTGCTGTTTAGTAGAAGAAAGAGCAAACTTTGACACAATCGCCATCCAAAAAAGACTTAAATTAGCTGACTTACTTCAAAAAATACAAATGCTAACAGAAAAATCTTTACGTGACAAGGTGCGATTCCTGTGAAAGATTCTATGAACTTCATGCGAAGCTACTGAAGTAATAGTACAAGTTCTAGTAACAATCAGGATGAAAGCACAACACAATAGCTATAAAAATCCATGTATTAGGAGGCATGAGATACAGTGAACTCCCTTTAAGACGAACTCGAAGGGACCATGAATAATTGTTCGTCTTATCAGATGTTCGTTTTATCAGAAGCACCCCCGAAAAAAGAAAAAGAATGAGGCAAGCGAAGCAAACAAAGCGCATGGAATAGAAAACGTGCGATCACAGGCTCGGCGCAGAGAATGAACTCGTTTCCTCGGCGATGGCGGCGGCAGCGACGGCGAGGTCGGAGAGGGAGAACATCCACGTGGAGAGAGCTGTGGCTGTACGACGCGAGCTCACATGTTCCCGCTGAGAAACAGCATTGGTCATGAGAGCCGCTTTCTTCGCGAATAGGGAGTCTCGGTCGTCATTTTGTTTTTTTACTTTTTCCCCTGCTTGCTTCTTCGCGGCTGATAGCTGATCTCAAAACTCTCTCGCTCTGCGGGTCGAAGTGCGGGTAATGCGCGGGCCATTCTTTTGTCGCTGCCTCCCTCCCTCCGCCGTGGCGCGAATTCACTTCGCGTCGTTGCTGCTTTTGTATTTTCTTTCCCTCCGGCCGCGGGAATACCCCCCCAAAATTGCCATAATTCCTCTGTAGAATCGCCTCGGTCTCCCGGTCTCCGCGAAAGTGTTCGTCTTAACAGAAGAGCAGGTGCAACGCTGTTCGTCTTAAGCGGATTTTTTTTGCATTGGGTCAATGGAAAACCAAACAAACGTTCTCACGTTGTTCGGCATAAGCGAGAATTCGTCTTAAACGAGTTCGTCTCAACGGGAGTTCACTGTAATAGAAAAAAATTCAGTAGTAGTTGTTACACACCAATAGTGACCAATACTGATGCAACTCATGTCTTCAATGCAGCTTAAATTAAGCACATTCAAGGTAGCTTAAAGTGACCTTCATCCCTTCATATGCTGAAAAAAAAAAAAAAAAATTCTTTATTCGGTCTAGCACACCTGGCAGGTTAGAGTTCACATCGCCAAGCAGAATGTTCCAACTCTAAAGTTTATCTATGTCTTTTGCTGTACACGCCTCAGTGATTAATACAGTAGACCAGTGGTTCTCAAAGGGGGGTCCACAAAGCCAATTCTATGATCCGCGAAACCTCAACCGCAACTTTGTCATATTAAAATTGTGAGCAATCAGGCTCATTATACTGAGGTTAAAAATATTTAGTGTTCTATAACATGAAGTTATAAATCGGGAAATACATCATTATATTGGCATATTTGTTCAATAAAAATTCATTGTACTAAAGAGGTTCAGCTGTATCAAAGTTTGACAATCCCAAAAGGTTCCGTTGAAAAGAGTTTAAAGGCATGACCACATCGAACCCACAAAGAACTGATGTATAGTACTCATGAATCGAAACAGGACAATTTAGGGCCAGTAATACACATAGTACACATGCTTCATGATTACGGAGTTAGACAAGGAGAGCAGAAAAGTAGGCCTTAAAATTAATCTGCAGAAAACGAAAGTAATGTACAACAACCTCGGAAGAGAACAGCACTTTGAGATAGGTAATAGTGCACTTGAAGTTGTAAAAGACTATGTCTACTTAGAACAGGTAATAACCGTGAAACCAAACCACGAGACTGATTTGATTGATTTGTGGGGTTTAACGTCCCAAAACCACCATATGATTATGAGAGACGCCGTAGTGGAGGGCTCCGGAAATTTCGACCACCTGGGGTTCTTTAACGTGCACCAAAATCTGACCACACGGGCCTACAACAATTCCGCCTACATCGGAAATGCAGCCGCCACAGCCGGGATTCAATCCTGCGACCGGCAGGTCAGCAGCCGAGTACCTTAGCCACTAGACCACAGCGGCGGGGCCAAACCACGAGACTGAAGTAACTGTAAGAATAAGAATGGGGTGGAGCAACTTTGGCAAGCATTCCCAAATCATGACAGGTAGATTGCCACTATCCCTCTAGAGGAAGGTATATAACAGCTGCATCTTGCCAGTACTTAGCTACGAGCGGAAACCTGGAGACTTACAAAGAGGGTTCGACTTAAATTGAAGACAATGCAGTGAGCAATGGAAAGGAAAATGGTAGGTGTAACCTTAGGAGACAAGAAAAGAGCAGAGTGGATTAGAGAACAAACCGGGGTGAAGGATATCATAGTTGAAATCAAGAAGAGAAAATGGACATGGGCCGGGCATATAGCATGTGGAAAGGATAACTGCTGGTCATTAGGGGAACTAAATGGATTCCCAGAGAAGGCAAGCGGGTTAGGGGGAGACAGAAGGTTAGCTGGGAAGATGAGATTAAGAAGTTTGCGGGTATAAATTGGCAGCAGCAAACACAGGACCGGGTTAACTGGTGGAACATGGGAGAGGCCTTTGTCCTGCAGTGGACGTAGTCAGGCTGATGATGATGATGATGAATACACACAGTACTTTCGTTTCCACCATCTTAAGTTCAGATCATATTGGTGTATTTTGAACTCGAACCTGTAGATCAGAGCCAAACTTATCGTTAATGATCATATTCATTCCTAAATGACTTGGTTTTTTTAAGAAATTGTGCACACCAGTCATTATGTTAAAAAATGTGGTGTCTCATTCGATTCCATGATAACTTTGAATGTTCTTTCGGCCTGTGAAGTTATGGTTTCCTGCTGAATTTAACAATGCCAGTAGAGGATAAAAAACACAGAGAAAAATTTTATTGACCTGCTTAGACCCTTTCATTAGATTAAGCAGCAAAATGAGAAGCTATAGAAAAAAGTAGTGAGACCTCAGCTTTGAGTACGCTTTCCAGAAGCGCTTCCCAAGGACAGGATGAGCCTGGCAAGGATGTAGAAAGGCAACGAAGCACAGCCAACACAGCCACTCGTGAAAGGCTATGGCTCAGCTGAGTCTGGCTTCGAACCTGCAGACACAAGCACTGCAATGATTACTCAGCCATTAACAATGCCTAGAAACTGACAGTTTTCTGTTGATAATGGCAATTGACAAATGCCTATGATCTAGTAGCACAGCAAAAAGGGACATATAAACATTACAGAAAAAAAGTAACACATTAAAATTACAATTACTTCAAAAAACATAACCTTCTTAAAGGTTAGACAATTATGTACCATCACTGGTAGCTACACCAAGAAATAAAGTGACAAATTTGTTATAAATAATATATTACTCCTACACTGCTCTTCTCAAAACCTATATTTTACACTACAAATGTACAGTAAATAACACGTGCTAGCCTGACTACATTACTGCATCCTCTACAGCCATTCCCACTTAGATTACGTTCAGCGAGAGTTGCCCTTCCTTATTTTCATCAACCATCTTACCATTTTTAATACTGGAAAACATCAGCAGTAACATGTAAACACAAGCTGATGCTACAGGAAGGGCACTGCTGTAATGCACGTAAACACCTTGCATACAAGATAATGTTAACTCTTTGTGAGATGAAAATAAATCTGCCAATGATTTCTGCTTTTCCTTTTCCAAAATTAAAAGCGCCACATGTAGCAACCCTCAAAAAAAAATATTTTTCATGAAAAGATATAAGAAAAACAAGTGTCCAACTGATCATTTCAGGCCACAAGCACTTGGGCCACAAGCAAAGGTGGGACACACATAGTTTATATGCCCACCTTGGGCTTCATCTTTTGATTCTCTGAGCTGATTATGGCTGTTTATGAAAGAGCTCAAAGCATTAAATGGGCTTAAAGTGGCCCTTGCCAAATGCTACAAACTCTAGGCCTTTTTGTTGCATCATCATCGATTGCCATTAGCACCTTTTTGTGTAATATTGATGTAATGTACAACAAATGTGTAATGTACAACACGTCTGTGTAATAATACTCATGGAACACACTCTTTCATCTTGTTTCAGTCGTTTAGTATTCTAACGAAGCATAAAATGTTAGGAAGATCATTAATATACATCAATGATCTTCCTAACCAAATCACAAGTTCCATCTGTTTATTTGCCGATGATTGTGTTTTATATCGCAAGATTGAAGGCCCTAATGATACCCTAACACTGCAGAATGATCTTAATAACATTTCGACATGGTGTAAGCTCTGGGTTATGGACCTTAACACGTCTAAATGCAAAACAATGAGAATTTCCCGTAGTATTTCAGCATGCCCTAATTATTTACTGAATAATACTTCACTTGATCAAGTAATATCCTATAAATATCTTGGTGTGCATATTACTAACAATCTCTCATGGAAAAGACACATAGAATACATTACATCGAAAGCTAACCGCATGCTTGGTTATTTAAAACGTAATTTTTCCTTAGCTCCCCCGAAGTTAAAGCAACAGCTGTACATTACTTATGTTAGGTCTAACCTTGAATACGCATGCTCCATATGGGATCCTGGTCATGCTAGTCTGACAAACATAATTGAAAATGTGCAAAATCGAGCGGTCCGTTTCATCCTTCACAACTACCATCGAACTGCCAGTGTCACTGACATGAAACGAACACTTGGCATTCCCCTTCTTTCTTCTCGTAGGAGGTTATCCCGTCTTTGCCTTTTTCATAAAATATATTATCATAACAATGAGTTGAAGTCCCGATACATCACATCCGCATCCTATATCTCCCCACGTGTCGACCACCCTTTCAAAGTTCACGTACCATCACAGCGCACAGTCACCTACTCATATTCATTCTTGCCAAAAACATCTTATGAATGGAATCACCTGCCTGCGTCACTAGTCGCAATCAGAGACCCTGACCGTTTCCGGAAAGCATTAACGAACACGCTATAAAGCTGCATCACGTTCACAAATGCATTTACAACACACTGAAACTGCAATTTACTTCTTTACCACCTATCTCTGTACAGGTCTTGATCTCAACAAATTTTTTTTTTTTTTTTTTTTTTTTTTTTGCCTTGCACTGATGTTTTCTTTTTGTGTGTGTAACTCGATAAAATTTGCTTTTTCATGTATCATTTTTTTTTTTTTTGAACATGTGTATTTTATTTTTTTTTTTTTTTTTTTTTTGAACATGTGTATTGAAAAGGCATCAGTCGATTATTTTTTTGTGCAACATGCACTGACATTCACTGTGATTGCGACGTCAAAGTGTATTTTTTCGTCCTATTTTCTTTTGTTAGTTCATGTATAAACTTATCTAGTTTGTTTCCTTTTGTGCTCTATCTCTTAGTGCCACTTTTTCTGTGTATTCCTTATAGTGTTTTCATTTACTTCAGCCCCTCCCCTCTACAATGCTTCTTGTAAGCCCTGAGGGTACCAATAATAAATAAATAAATAAATAAATAAATAAATAAATAAAATGTGAATTAAAATTAGTAAACTGAAGTTCAGCGTCTTTTGAAGTGTCTACACACAAACAATGTGAAAGGTACTTGCTAGGCATAATCTTTACATGACAAAGCTGAAAACATTTGTTTTCTGCTGTTTTATGCATAAAAACGATATAATTGCATAGTATGGGACTCAGAATTAATTTTAACCACCTGAGGTTATTTATGAGCAGAAGGGCATTCTTCCCATTTCAACCCCCATCAAAACACAGCCACTGTGGCTGGGGTTCGAACACACACCCTGCTGCAGCTCTTCCCGTGAAGTTATGACAAATGTACCAGAATACCATTAAACCTGCTAGTATAATGCATCTTTTTCTTAAACATTTTTCAGCAAAAAATTTGAACAGCACAAAAAAATACAGACAGATGAAAAGAGAGTTGATGCAGACAAGTGCTGTTCCCGTGCTGTTAAAATTTTCTAGACGAACTGCCAACTCGCCCTAACACTGACGTTAAATGGTTATACTTTTTGCCACAGATTTTGTTTTAGACATCACGATAAAATTTCTAGGTATGTTTTTCCTGTCCTTTTCTATTAATAATTAATATGGACGAGCTTTGTTTCGCATTTGAAATACTTCGAAGAACTTTCTGCTGGGAAGCTTGAAAGATGCACAAGTCATGCCACAGAAATTTAAATAACCAAAAAAGCACAAGCGATGCATTAGAAGCTTATATACTACAGCTATTCATGCTCATGTCTGCACTCACGGCATTGCTATGCAAGTTGTAGTCCACTTGGTCCATTATTTGAGCCACAAAGCATGCAGCTGGTCATAAAAAAAATAGAGACCTCAGCATCTAGGAGCTAGACTAAACTCAATACAAATTAGTATAAGTTTTGTAAAAAGTGTAATGAAGTATTAGTAAACAATAAAGAGAATAGCTAAGCTATAACACCAAAAACTAATTTCATACAGTAATATGTAGCTCAGTGTATAAACAGGCAATCATTCCTACACAACGATGGGCACTCAAAGAAAGGTTCACAGCTGTTTTCACTGAGCAGCAGTGGTAAACCTTCCGTGGACTTTAAAAAGGTGACACTCTTCATGACTGAGACCCCCTGCCTTCCCCCCTGGTCATTTTGCATTTTGCTGTTTCTTATGTAGATGAGGGCTCCCACCTTGGTACTGTTCTAGATCTGGCTATTCATTCTGCTAAAGTCTGCAAAAGCACTAGGCGCCATAAAATGCATAATAATAAGTGCTTCAATAACTGGATTTTAGGCCCGTGTGCTCAGATTTGGGTGCACGTTAAAGAACCCCAGGTGATCGAAATTTCCGGAGCCCTCTACTACGGCGTCTCTCATAATCATATAGTGGTTTTGGGACGTTAAACCCCACTTATCAATCAATCAATCAATGACTGGATTTTATAAAAAATATATATGACGATGATTAGCAGATAAGACACAAAAGAAATATTTCAAACTTAAAGGGCCCGTAAACCACCTCCAATATTTTTTCAAGCATTTCAAGTAAACGCAGGCATCGTGTGCAGAATGCCGTCGCGATCAATGAATCTGCGTGTGGCAGCACTACAAGCCGCCGGCGTGCCACAAATTTCAAGAAACAATCCTTTCTCCTTTTCGGGCCTTTCACGCCTCCGCGTGGCGCACCATGCCACATCTCTGGCTCACCGAGCCAAATATGCCAAATATGCTATCGAGCAAGAGCCTACGACTTCCAGTCAGTCTGCAAGCAGCTGTCCGCGCTGCTTGTTGTTCGCCGTGTTGCCTGCGTTCGTGTAACACGTGCAGGGCACAGCGTGCCCTCGTACAGGTCCATCGCGTTGGCAATTCTTTGAAGGCATGTGCGCAACTCTGCTAGGTTCCATACTCCATGATTATGGCAGCCACAGCTTGCCAACAAGCATGCATCTGACGGAGTCGATGGTTAAAGTCGCGGCGAATGGGAGGTGTGCTCGGCGAGAAAAAAAAGCAGCGTGGGAGAGGATACCAGCGGAGGAAAGCGCAGAAGAGAGCGAACGGAGGGATCGTCGCGGTTCCGATAATCAAGCGCGTGTAACTCCGCTATTACTGCACCGTTTTGAAAAATTCTCACGGCTTCATGTTCATCGTACACTTGCGCACAAGTTCCCTACAACAACTGAATTTCGACCTCTGAGTCGTATACGGGGCCTTTAAGGGTTTTGTCGCAAAAGAAAAAAGTTAAATTTAGATTCAGGATATGTGGACTGTCTATTATGCTAATGTCTACAAATGCACCACATTCCTGAAAATAGCGAAAGTTATATGAGAGTGTGTGCATGCGTGTTGATGGTTCAGAGCATGCTGCAGTATCATGTATGCTGCGGCATGCTCTGAACCACCAACACGAGGAGTGAAGGCTGATACTGGAGGTAGCATGCGAGAATTACTGGTTCACATCTAACCGTTACTCACTGTTGATGCTTCATCAAATTTGCATTTGCTCCTAGATTCGGCTTTGCAAGTTTTTGAATGAATGAAAGCACTAGTCATGAGTGACAGGTCTAAAAGATAAGATAATCATTCCATTAATTTATTTAATGAAACAAAAAATAACTGACTTGTTCAATCAATTCTGCAGCCAAGGTTGGCAGGTGAGGATCCTCTACAGCGGCAGTCAATGAGGCAGATCGCTTGCTTGGCTGGGAACGAGGGCTTGGTTCCAAAGAACAGAGGTCAGCACCAGCAAGATTTTCTGAGATCCAGTCTGAGTTGATTCGCGAGTACTCTTCCTGTAGAAAGTCACTAGGGGACTGGTGGCCCAAAGCAGTCTCTCGTGGAGTGTCCCGCAGTGGTCCTATTAGCAGAAGAATGGCACCCACTATTTTAGTACACCTACATTATTTAAGAACACAAAATCTGAGAGAAATTTGGAAGCATGTGTTTAAAATTCAATTGTTTTTTTTTTATGTACAACGATATAATCATGAGGTCAGCTACACTGGGGGGGGGGGGGGGGGGGGTCCAGATCAATTTTCTATCTGGGGTTTTTTCACATGCACCTAGACCTAAGTACATAGGTGTTCTTGCATTTGAACTGATAGAAATGCAGTTGTTATGGCTGGGAATCAAGCCAATGTTCTTGAGCTTAGTAGCACAACATCATACAATTTAACTGCTGAATTTTGAGAGAATAACACTACAGCAAGCACAATTCATTTATAGGACCTATCATGATTTATATTCCCAGTCATGCCCAGAAGAAAAACTTATTGCAATTAATGACATTTCTGGTACTACCTTCCATCTGTTGATTATCGATAGCAAAGGGACATACCCTGCCATCTACTGCATTATAGAGCGTGTAGGCTGCTCACTTCACTCAACGGAGCAATGTGTTGCGGTAACTTCCAACTACAAAATATTTCGCATAAGGGCATGCAAGACCTATTGAGAATAAACAAACTCTCCCACCATGTATAGCTTTTAGTCTTCTTTAGATCTCTGTCAAATCGGTTTACATTTAAGGTATAACAAATGCGCCCTAACCTGTGAGTATTGCTTTATGCTGGTGGTCATTTTTGTAACTGCTTTTGAAAAAAAAAATTCCACTGGCTCCATAGTCTGAGAACACTGTCACATTGCGCCACAAGCCAATAAAAGCAAGCACGTGGGTTGATAATGTGTTCAATCTGTCACACCAATAGGTATGAAAAAAGTACATCAGTTTCCTGCGATTTCACATAAGGTCAGCAGCAAAGTGACTATGCAGTTCGTGCAGCAGATAAAATATGCATACAAATGCCAAGCACTTCCTTAAGTGGCACTGGTAAAAAATGGTATCTTGAACACTGAGTTAGTGCCCACCATTTACTTATAATCAGGCATGCGTTATTAGCTCATACTTGCCAATTTATCAAATAGCAGTGCAGCGAGATAAGTGCCATAGGGTCTAGCGCATGCCCATTGATATGAAGGAACTTAACATTGCTGCATATGAACAGAGCTTCTGCATTTCTACTAGGCTGCATATGCCCACAGACATACAGTCTCAGATCCAGTAGCCAAACTTAGGTCTTGCCCCATAAAGCAGAGCAGGCCATTCATGCATGCTGCACCGCATTGTATGGCACTATACTCCAATAAAATTTTCGCTACAGGGGGAACTAAAGAGTGAGCACAATCTACTACCTTCTCCTCCCTGTTAGCTCTATTGTTTCCTTAACAGCACTAAGGTGCCTTGCACTGAGCCCAAATACAATTTCTTGTATCACGTCCTCAACAAGCCATATGCTGCGAAAGTCTTAGTGCATGTAACCAACATCAAGGCACAAGTTCTGCTCTCAAAAAAGGTCGAGTGTTCAATAATGTACAAAATTTAAACATTAAGAAATGAAATGCCCTATTGAGAAAATGAGGGCAAGGGAAGATTTGGTGTGTACATGCCTTATGTACTAAGCTTCTTTCTATCGCATCGTGCAACACTCCCCTCAACTGTTTCCTTACTCCATGCTGAAATTCGGAACTTTTATCCACATGCTTAACAGCACAACACTTCAGTTGGTACAGGCAACAACGATGCCCGTGCATTCATATTCAAGCCACAATGAAATGTTGCAACGCAAAATGACAAGTCAACTTGATAAAAGATCAAATCCCCATATCATAAATGGCTGACTGCTAACAAGCCCACGAAGCAAATAGCATCCATAAATAGAAAAATAAGGGCCCCATTTTCGTATACTTGCACGTGCTGGGTTTTTCGTGTGACACTACCACCAAAATCTGTGAGTTATAAAAGCTTCATCTAATTATGTGTTTCCTATTGAATAGCTCCCCAATGGCCAATAAAAGAAGCGGTGAAGCCCTCTGAGAACACCCCCCCCCCACACACACACAACTCCCGGCACGCACGCGTGCAGGGCCGGAGCACAGGAGAGATAGACACGTGGGGAGGTGATGTCACCATCAGGGTCGAGCTGCCACCTGGCGAGCAACTTTGAGTCGGGCCACCTGCATTGCTTTGTCATCTCAGCTTGTTTACTTTGCGGTTGTGCCTTATTTCTTCTGCAATCTGCTGCTTAGCAAGGCATGAGTTTTGCCATAGATGGATGAAAGAACTTTATTAAGGTCCTATAGGTCGTGCTAGTATCCTAGAACGAAGCGGGCTGCTTCTACCTTGGGACCGAAAGACATAGCCTTTCAGCCTCTTTGCGGGCCCATTGGACTGCCCACAATTATCCCTCTACATGAGCAAAACTGCGTCCCATCGTTCTTTAGTATTTTTCTTGTCGCTGCATAACGCGGAGCAATGCCAGAGCATATAAGCAAGATCCATGGTGTCGTGGCATTTATCGCATGTTGTAGGAACACAAAATTGATTGATTGATATGTGGGGTTTAACGTCCCAAAACCACTATATGATTATGAGAGACGTCGTAGTGGAGGGCTCAAGAAAATTTAGACCACCTGGGGTTCTTTAACGTGCACCCAAATCTGAGCATACGGGCCTACAACATTTCCGCCTCCATCAAAAATGCAGCCGCCGCAGCCGGGATTTGAACCCGCGCCCTGCGGGTCAGCAGCCGAGTACCTTAGCCACTAGACCACCGCGGCGGGGCGAACACAAAATTCCTGATAAATTCTGTTTATTAACAGCAGGTTTAGATAGGTGCTTGTTTGTAATTGCCTTAGCGTAATGGCTTGAGCTCTGTTCAGTTTACTGCCAGTTCGTAGGAATTTCTTGCCATCACACTGTTCTCTACTGATTAGAAATTTTCGCCATCCGACATTCACTAGTGCTCGTGCAAGGTTGAAGTGGGCTCGCGATGCCGAGTTACTATGCGGCATATGGCTGCCGCAGCACTTACGGTTGCGATGAGGTCGCTTTTCACAAGTTTTCTCGGGATATGAAGATAGCTGCTAAATGGGCCACTGCAGTTAAATAAAATTATTTCAAACCTACAAGATGAAGCGTGCTGTGGCGGTCGCAAATCTGCCAAATTTCGAGGCAGCAGCACTCCTCCTCTTTCCCCATTTGCACGCAGTGTGTGCGTGGCACCAATGGCGAAAACAAGTATAAAAATATATCAGTACGCATAATCGAAATCAGCTATTCTACACGACAGTCGCACGCTTCTAGCGTAGCTAATATACCATTTGCATTTTAACACATCATCACTCTAGTAATGGGCAGAATTTAGAAAAAGCGACGGTATTATAAGAAACAGAACTGCAATATATGAGCCAAACTAGTCTTGTGCAATTTTCAGTGCAGTTCAGAGCACATATCACCAATATCACCACTGCGACAAGACCGGCACTTGTCAGGTTTTTTAGGGGCGAAGCTCCTAAAAGCGGCACTCGTTCATCCTTCGTAGTCGTAGTGTGTAACGAGTGTTGATTGATTGATATGTGGGGTTTAACGTCCCAAAACTACCATATGATTATGAGAGACGCTGTAGTGGAGGGCTCCGGAAATTTCGACCACCTGGGGTTCTTTAACGTGCACCCAAATCTGAGCACACGAGCCTACAACATTTCTGCCTCCATCGGAAATGCAGCCGCCGCAGCCGGGATTCGAACCCGCGACCTGCGGGTCAGCAGCCGATTACCTTAGCCACTAGACCACCGCGGCGGGGCTGTGTAACAAGTGTTTAACAAGTGTTACATTTTGACCGACAAGGTGGTGCTGGTGGGAGATTTCTCCTATACTTTGTTGAACAATAAAAAGTTCGCGACGTGGGCGTTAACTAAAAGCCGAATGCTCCTGTCTCTCATTCCTCATTAGCAGCCATTGGCATGTACATTGAGCACTATCTGACAAGAAAGGGTTGCTACGTTATACTCACTGGGTGTAACCTATTTAGTTTTATAAAGGTTTAGCGAGCGTTGAGCCGCAGTGCCATGAATACAATGAACTAGTATATACCATGAACTCGAGGTGGTTAAAAATTGGAAGTAGATACGAAGCGCAAGCCGTAAGAAAGTAAAAGCCGAATTCTTCTGTCTCTCATTTCCCATTAGCAGCCATTGGCATGTACATTGCGCACTATCTGACAGGAAAAGGTTGCTACGTTATACTCGCTGGGCGTAACCTCCTTGGTTTTAGAAAGGTTTAGCGAGCGTTGGGCCGCAGTGCCATGAATACAGTGAACTAGTATATACCATGAACTCGAGGTGGTTAAAGGTGGGAAGTAGACTCGAAGCGCAAGCCGTAAGAAAGTATGCGTGTGCCACCTCTCGTTTAGTCCTTGAAATGTCCGCTGGATGGCGGTGCTTCTATATGGGGAATATATGATGAAAAGATGCGAGATGGTGGTACTTGGAGTGTTGAATAGATAGACGAATGGACACACAGACAGATGGATGGATGGACGCATGAACGGACACAGGGACGGTTGCACGAACAGACGCACGCACGGACGGGTGGATAGACGCATGAACGGTCACACAGACGGACGCACGGATGGACGGAAGTAAGAACGAATGGACGGACGAATGCTTCGCCCCACTCTCCATCATTCACTCCGTGAATATGCTGCCATTTGTTTTTGTTTTTTTCTCACGGTAGCATATTGATTTATCGCACGCACCTTGTTTGCAGCGAAGTACGATACTGACTGCATTAACAGCGCTGAACTCTGAGCTGTGAAATCCAGGAACAGCTGATGTTTCTGCGCGCAGCCCGCACTTAGCGCAAACCATACCAATACACAGCCAACAGCAAGTGCCGATGCTGCTGTTTTTTATCGAATCTTATATCCACTGATAAGCGCATCATTTGTCAGTTTACAACAGTGAAATTAAGCACTGGCATGCAACTTATATCAACCAGTCTATGTTTCCAACACAGGT